CCCTTATCCCGCGCAGGCCCGTTTGTATGAATCGGCTTCTCGGAATGGAATCCGAGCTCTCTGCGCGCCTAGGAGTTTCCTGTTTTTTCTTCCGAGATTTCGAGTTTTTACGAATCCGCATTCGAATCACCTTTAATTATTTTCTCTACTCGGAAAAATAACTGGATCCCCAGAGGACAGGGGAGACTGGACGAATGAGACTCGAAACGTGATCCGCGAGAAAGAAGATCGGGGTGCGAAATACTTCCAGGAACCCGATGAGGAGGAAGTCGGGGAGGAGGAGGAAGTCGGGGAGGCGGAAGAGGAGGTCGGGGAGGAGGAGGAGGAGTTCGGGGAGGAAGTGGAGGTCGAGGAGGTTTTCGAGGGGGCTCACTAACCACGCCCGCGACTTTCCTTCGATGGCAGAAATCGAAGTCGGGAGGAATGAATGGAGGAATCCGATAATTGGGGCCGGGGCGGGGCGGGAGTCGTGGGTGGTGACGTCGGTGTGACGTCAGAGGCTCGCTCTCCCTCGCCTGGCAACCCAGGCGCGTTTTTCCTGGTTCATTCTTGGAAACGTGGTTATTGCGTGTCGGGATGGAGCTTTATCGCGGGATTAGGTTTTCGCTGGAATCCGTTCTGTATTTGCGCATGGGGGATGAGGGGGGCAGGGGGGGCAAGAGGGGCAAGAGGGGGATGAAGAATGCGGATGATCCGTGTCGGTTATCATAATCAAGTTATGAGGGGACGGCGTCAATATACGCGTAATCCGGGAGTGGCTTACCTCGTAGCGTCGTTTTCCGCTTTTCGTCGTCGCGGTGGCGCCGTTCCGTTCTCCGCGGTGATTCCAGGTAAATGCCGCATTTGCATTGACGTCGTGGGTTTTCTTCTTTCGCTGCGTCTCGGAAGAAAATGATTCATCGCTGCGTCGATTCGGGAATGGGATCCTGCGGACTGCGAACACGCAAGGGGGATTCTTGAATTAAAAATTCTTCTTGGAAAGTGGTGGACCCGGTGAACTCGGCTGGATCCGGATGTCTCGGCTGGATCCGGCTATCTCATTCCGGATCGTTAGAAGCGGTCGGGATGATTTTCTTCTCTTTCTCTTCGCGAGAAGGAATTTGTCTCTGCGACGCCCCGCTGGGCTTCAGGGACGAAAATAGGCCCATAAACGCTCCATATTCGCCCCGGGGGTCCGTCGAGTCAACAATGGGGTTGTCGTCGGGGATGTCGTCGACGGAGGCAGATGGAGCATGGCCGACGGCCAATGCCAATGCCGCCAAGGTCGTCTCGTACCGCGCCTTAGACATCGTTCGTGGACTGGGTACGATCGAAATCACGAATTCCCTTCTTCGTATCGATTCCGCGCTTATTTTTCTGTTGTTTTTTTTCTCCCATGCGCAATGGCATCTCCGCATCAGAGCAGATAACTGCAGCGCATCCGGGCTGGTGGGCGTATCGCATGGAAATCCGCCTGGAAACGCAATTCCGCGGAAAAGTTTAACGAGATATCTCCCGAGTTGCGTCGTTTCCTCTTTTCCTGGTACTGCTCATCCCAGCGGGTGCAAGCGGGTGCAGCGCTGCACACCCCCGGGTGCGCGGTGGAGCGGGGTCGCCGAGTACGAAGTGGGGCATGCGCCACCGATCCATTGACGTCTGTAACCCAGACAGTTACATAAGTCCCTCCTCCACCCTTTTTATTTTCCGTACTACGTCTCGCAGCTTTTGAACGAAAAAAAAATGCGGCGGTGAGATCGATGAGAACTGGGAGCGACGCACTCGAGGTCCATCCGGTCTGGGAGAGGCGCAACTCCGTGCGTCTCTACGGAGACAGCATCTCCGCAGAGATGCTGTCGTCTTCTCTCGAAAGCTCAAAAAGGGAGAGGAATGCATCGACGGCCGTGCCGAAGGTCAGACGGCGTCTGGTCCCAGTCGTAAAAGTGGAACCTAATGGCACGGTCGCTTTTGTCGGGGGATTTCCGAGAGCGTGGCGTCGAGGGCTGGCGGAAGTGTGCCGATGCGTGGGAGCCTCCAGGGGTGCTCCGTTATAATACATGGAGACCCACTTCCCTCACGTGTTATGATGCACCGCAAAGCCCTTCGTCAGGGGGTCGTTGAGAACGGAGAGAACGAATCGTGGTTGCATGGAGACTTAGGTTTTTATTCATTGGTAGTCGATATAAAAATAAAATCAATATTCCATCCATTACAAATCATTGCCAGGGGGGAGAGAGGTACAGGGGGATGGATCTCATTTATCATTCCATGCCTGTTCGGTCCGAAAAAAACAACTGAAGTGGCTTAATGATCGCGGAAGGTTTCGTCGTCCGGGGGGAAATTTCCCAGGACTCGTCAAGAGTGGAAAAAAATCCAATAAATTACTACAACTTACGGACTAACAATAATACCTTAGGGGGATAATACCACGCGAAAAAAAAAACAGAAAAACCAAAAAATCGCGGGCTTATGTACATACTCTATATCTACAGTAGGGGAGGGTATTTAAATAATCCAGTCATAACCCGTTTTGGCTAGAAAAAGAAAATTCTTTGGAAGCGGTTCCCTCATGGTATGAGTAAGAGGAAAACTGGAGAGAGTTCAGATCTAATAAGACTTGAAGTACGATATGGGGGTCTGTCAACATGACATTGTGCACAAAATACGTGATATTTTCTTTCCCTACACTCACCGGAACCCACTTTTGATTATATGTTTGAAAATGGATAGTTTCCCATCGTCGACATGCAATAGAAAAGCGGAGAGGGCCAGAGAAAAAGGCGACCTAAACCCAAGAAAAGATATCGTAACACCTAACATCTCGCCCATACTTTCGTCCATTCACGACAACAAACGAAAACAAAAACCTTCGTTTAATTTAGAGGGAATAAACAGACAGTGAGACAATCGCATGCATGCTATCACGGAGTCAACTCGACCTTTTCTCCCTCCTCCCAATCAAGGTCATCGTCACCTCAAGGACCTCCACGAACAAAAAAAAAACTGCTGAGAATCACAGAGGGCATCCCTTCCTGCTACGTCAACGGATCCAGGCAGAGAAAATCGAGAGTCCAAGAGTCACTGGCAAGGCACGGCGAGGATGACACATTTCGTCGTATTGCAGCCCCTCCTTGTCAGTTCTCGCTTCGTCTTCCCCACGTGGACCATCACAGAAGACGTGGAAGGCGATATGGGGGGACGGAGCGGAGCGTGGAGGTCCCGGGGACGGTTCCCCGCTCCCTCCCCCCCAACAGTCAACGACGAGAGGATAATTGAGGTCTACGTCACGCACACCGACGGCATCCCACAACGGAAGCATAGGATGGACTGCATTTTCAAGGAGACTCCTCCTCTTTCGTGTCTAAGTCTCAGGCTCATCATCAAACAGAGCCTTGCGAGGACATCGAGTCCTGTGACGACGCCGACGATGTGTCCAGGGTCATGTGATGGTCCCTCTTCCCACCCACCGTCACGGCTAGGTTATCCATTATCACCACTCCCCTCACCACTCCTGCCCCACCGTTCACCCCTTCGCCACTAGCCTTCTTGGAGTATTTGCTGAGGTCCATCAAAAACCACGGGTGATGCATCATCTCTTCGAGTGACACCCTGTCCGTCTGCCTCACCTTCAGGCACCGTCGAATAAGATCCTCGCATTCTGTCGAGAAACGATCACGTGAGACCGAGCCACAGAGCGATCGCAACGGAAGCGAAAGGGGACTGCTCTACTTACCAGGTGAGAGGGGGTTGCGGAAGTGTAGTTGAGCACGAAGGATTTGGTCGTCCTTCTCGAACGGGATGTCCCCACAAACCATGTTGTAGAGGAGGATCCCCAACGACCAAACGGCCGCTTCTTCGCCTCTGTACCTCCCGTAACGGATCCACTCCGGGGGGCTGTACACTCGAGTACCTGCACAGACAGAAACAGACACCCTTTCGTTACACGGATTGATGTTGCTAGGCGATGAGGGGGCTCGGGAATCCCTGTGACGTCATCGGGTCGAAGCCTGGAGACCCGCCAAGGACGTTCCTTTCCCTTTCCCGCGGAGGGGGGAGGAGGGAGGCCCGCGGGTCGATAACGAGGCCAAACGGAGTTTCTCATGAATGGGGGAGGGATTACAGAGTTTCCATGCGGCGGGGAGAGCAAGAACCATCGCCTTCCCCGTCTTCGCAATGGCATGTGTGGTGTTGCCAAGCCGAGCGTTTCCCAAGCCCCGAGGGGGAATCCGTCAGGCATTGACCTTCCCTTCTTCCCCCCCTCCATTCCCATCCCCTCCGCACGGTCCGACCCGAGAATAGCTTCTCTCTCAACGGGTCTTCTCCCTCTCTCGCGCGGCCCCAAGGACGCGCGGCAACATTCCTCACGACTGTCGGCTCACTCATTCTTCGGGATGGAATGAGAGTCTAGACCCCTTCCCTTTGTCCCTTTCCCGTTTCCGCTCGGGGGTGATCGGGTACGAATAACAACACATTGCTAGAAAGTCTCCCTTTTCTTCCCCATTTCTCCCTCCCTCTTGTCTCGAACCCCCAAAAACGGGTAAACAAGAGCCGGAATGCCCCTTGGAATGTTGGCCGAATGCCCGGGCCCGGTTCTTTTCTTTCTCTTAGCAACAGGACAAGGAACGGCCTTGCCTCCAGCGGGATTCCCCAACCTCCCTCAGACGGCACCAGGATAAGGATAACCTCTACCGATTAGAGATAAGAGACTCACGAAAATAGCACTACAGGAAACAGGAAAAAGTTTTCTTTTTACACCCGGAAGCCCGCGAGTGTGGTGGGATTCCCACACGAGAATAGACATAAAAAAGGTGAGGAAAAAAAAATACTGACCATCGAAGTCGGTGTAGACGGAGTCCTTCAGGTAGGCACCGGACCCGAAGTCGATCACCTTCAGGGTTAGCGTCTTCAGATCGAGGAGCAGATTCTCGTCCTTGATGTCCCGATGGACGACACCAACGGAGTGGCAGGCGATGATTGTCTCCAGGACCTAAATTGCAATAGAACAGACGCCCCAATTTAGTATGCTTTCGACTTCATCCCTTTAGAAAGTTAAAAATGACTCCAGATTCAGTCCAAATGTTTAATTTACCTTATATTCGGACCTCCATTACTCTCTTAAGCAGTAGCAATTTTTCATTTAAACGCGCTGCTTCCGCGTACCTGCTTAAAGAAGTGCCTGGCGAGGGTCTCGTCCAGATAACCCTTCTCGGTGATGTAATCGAAGAGGTCCTGGGAGGGTTCGGGGCGCTCCATGACGATCACGAAGGAATCGTGCCGCTCGTAGAAGTCCAGGAGGCGGATTACGCCGTTGATCCGCTCCACTTCCGTGAGCAGGGCCAGCTCCAACGGCACTCGACGGCCGTTCAACTACGAGAAACCAAGAAAACCACGCCTTCTTTACATCCCATTCCGATTTTCCCATCAGGTGCTTCATTGCAAAAAACTTTATTCCAGAGAAATTCCCCGACATGTTTGCCGCCAAGATCGGGGAAGAACCCCAATGGTCGAGGGGACGGACTCAACCTCCAATGACATCGCGTCTCCTCTGACGTCACCCTCCCACGAAATACGCTCGCTTCCCAGAATTCCCCTCGCTCGACGCGCAAACGCCATGAGCCAAACGGCCTCGTCGAGAATCAAAAATCCGTTCGTCTTCGAATCTACTTAAGGGAGAGGCGATTGCAGACGCGAATAAGGCCGAATTCGGATGAGACCAGTCCCCTGGGCATTTGCCCAGTACTGCTCTTGAGTAACGGATCGTGAGCCAGGGAAATATTGGCCCGTGTCCACGGATGTCGAAACGCAACGAGGCTCTCGAGTCCACACGAGACACTTTTCTCTCTCTCCGTACTTTAGAAACGAAAGCTGACCCACTTTTCCCCGATGTTGCAATCTTTCTCTCTCCCGCCCGCATTCCATCCAAGGCTGCCCTGCCTCGGTGAGACACCAGACCTGGTTTCTCTTTTTTTTTTCCTTCCTTGACACTCTTCCGCCTTTCGATCGGAGACGGAAAACGGGGTCTGTCCGCATCCGTCCCGTTATACGCCTTTTTTTCGCCCGTCTCCCCCGGAATGCAAGGTGTGGGCCGTCAATGCGGCGATGGTTACGCTTTCCGGTCGTAACAACGTGACCCAGATTCACGGGAGGAAAGAAAGCTCTCTTTCTCCCTCTTTCACACACTCACCCACCAAAGTCCCGCTAGGCCTAAGGCGGACATTCCCCGCAACTGCGCACTTGCGGAGAGAAAGGCTTGGCTGACTCAATCGAGTGAAAGGTCACCGTCTGTTTACATCCCGCAAGGCCCTTCCAAGGACCGTCTGTCTCCGGAAACAAATGAAAATTCTCACCTTGCCCCAGTCGGTGACCCTGTTCTTGGCGATGTGCTTGACGGCGACGGGAAGATTGTCCCGCGCCCTCACCCCAGCGTACACGATCCCGAATCCCCCCTTCCCCAAGACGTGCCCCACCCTGTAGGTCTTCTCGAAGGACTCCTTCGCGGGCGCCACCCCCGACGACATCCCGGGCAGACCGAGGGCGTAGGCAGGCACTGCAAACGACAAAAAAAACACGTTCAACAGTCGAACGGTCCCAAGTCCTGACGCAAGTCGAGGACGCTGTTTCCCAATCGCGACGGGGGGTCGGGCCTATGAGCGAGGCCGAGACTTTCTTCCGGAGGTCTCGAGTTAGACCTCAGACCGACAATAAGTGTAACAATTGACGGGAGGTACTCGAGTTTTGACACAGCTGCTCGAAAGCCGAGGCTTGACACAGTTTCTGATGAAACCCGCAAGTGTCCCAGATAACTGTTCGATCCGGTCCAAGCAACAACATAATCGACC